GAAGCGGTTAGAAGTTTCCCATCATAAGCTCTGTTGAGCAGCAAAATGGGCATCTCATGAAAGACTGAGCTCCCCAGGATTGCAAACAGCGCCCAAACATGCCCACTGCTAGTTGAGTTTTCATCAGTTCTTTCTTCAACAGCATAGAGGTGATACATCAGAACCCAGAAAACTAAAGGGCTAAGGTTGTGGGTCATGCTTTCAACACATTATTGGCATGTTGACTTACACCATCACAAGAGAGTTTATTGGCCTGACTTTCTTTCGGGCCTTAAAGGCTAAAGATCAGTGCCATTTGCCCGGTGTGTCAACTGCTGGCTGAGGTCATTACTTCCTCAGGGTAATCAGAGGGCAAGGGGGAGTGTTACTTCCTGACTGCTCTCAGATCTCAGCCCCACAAGGCTCGCTCCACTTTGCCCCGCGAGTGTGATCTAGTCTCATCTGTGGCACACTGTTTATTGTACGTTAGGGGATCAGCTACTTCCACATTTAAGCATGATGAAAAAACACTCTTCAAAATGATTCATCCAAAATATTTCATGCAAAATGCAAGACTGTTACCACAGGTTGTCGCTGATACCATAGTTTGCACGTGTTTATTGTTATCTTTAGTCTGTCCCTGACCAGTGAATTTTAGTCTACGTACGTCTGCTCCCCTGAAAGCAGTGGAATGCAGCTCCACTAACATCCGTGAAATGGAACTGGTTTGCTATTTCTATTCCACTTCATTCCACTTTAACTTTGTGATCACTACTTTTTTAATAACATGTTTATGGGTCGTTAGTTCTGTGTGTGATTCTCCACCTCCCACCCTCTCTTATTTTTTCCCAATATGAGAACCTTACTTGTTAAGAACAAAAAGTAAATAACAATGTAAACCTGTGATCTCAATTTTGTAAACATGCAGCTTCACTTTGGTACCTGGATATTTGCTCACGATGAATGAGTTTAAGTGGTTCCTAAAAATGGAAAGACAGTGCAAGCTACTCAAGTTGGAGGCTAAACCAGTATTTAGAGAGCCTTGGCCTATTTTAGCGCTAGCCAGCAGGTATAATGGGCACTTGCTTTCTATTTTGTATATTTGGAGCTGTTACCACTGGCCTGAAGTATCCCAGAGGTGGGTTACTGGGAGAGCACCGGTGACAGTTCAGAAGGTCTGTTGTATCCAGGCAACCCATGACCCAGAGCAGGCGTACTCAGGGGGATTGCACTGCATCCCAGGTGTCCTGTTACAAGTGTATAGGGATCCCCGTAGACCTCAGAGGTCACTTCCTCTCCTGAACTTTTCTGGATTTCTCAGTTGCCAGCTCTTTATGCAGTCTTATGACGGCTCTTCCATTGTTGGCTTACTTAATAATTAACTTTTATTATTTGCACCCCTTCTACAAAGCTAAATTGTAGGTTTCTTGAGCACAAGGTTGAGTCTTGTGCTTATCCATCTCTCATAGCACTTCGCACAGGAGGAAGAATCAGGGTGGACATGGGTTAGAATCCCAGATCTCCATTTATTAGCTCTCTGACCTTGGATAAGTTCCTTCATCTCCCTGTGTCTCCATTTCCTCATCTACAAAATAGGAGTGGTAATACCTGCCTTAAGAAGCCCTGGTGGTACAGTGGTTAAGCGCTCGGCTGCTAACTGAAACGTTAGTAGTTCGAACTCACCAGCCACTCTGTGGGAGAAGGATGTGGCAGACTGCCTTCCGTAAAGATTACAGCCTTGGAAAACCTATGGGGCAGTTCTACCCTGTCCTGTAGGGTCACTATGAATCAGAACCGACTCAACAGCAGTGGTTTTTTTTGTTTTGTTTTGTTTTTTTAATACCTGCCTTGCACAGTGTTATGAGAGCTGGCTAGCATGGTGCTGAGCACTAGCAAGTACTTGGTAAATGTCATCCTGACTCACAAGACAAAGCCTTTACCCAGAAGTTGTGCAAAATTTTGCAGAATCGAAAATGACAAAGCAGGATTTAAACTAATGTGAGGATGGAGCCAGCAATGAACTATTCAGATTTCATGGTATAGATGCCCTCTCCTCTGACCTTGGGCTTGAATGACAATTTACAAACCTATTTTCATCCATGACGTTTTCCCCACCATATGACAATCATTTTGAGATCATCATGCCACCCAAGCCCAAAAGCATCAGTGATCTCAGAACGTCATTGATTTGGAAGGTGGAGACTTGGCTCATTGGCATTCTTAGTCCATTTCATACATTTAAGCACCAGCCCTTCCCTGAGTGGAGAAGCTTTCTCCAGCTCCTTCCAACCACATGACAGATGGCAGTTCTCCATGTTGCTTCCTCATCTAATGGTTTCCGTGCGCATCCCTAGCTTCTTTGGGACTTTTCTTTAAAAGCAGCCACAGTGGGAAGCAGTGGTAGGACTTAACTGAGATCCACAGCATCAAAATAAGAAAGAAGTGGTGATAAGGATGGGAGCATGAGAGGACTGTAAGAAAAACATAAATAGTACTGAAATGAGTTTCTTGCATTTCCCATGTAGTTAGCACATTTGTCAGAACTCCGTGTGTGCACTCTACACTCAGCGACTGGAAAATTGTCCGGGAACATAGTGGAAAATACGTACTTAGGGACGTATCTCTGCCTTGACTCTGCCATTTCTCTCGGTGGTGGAGCTGTGTCGCAATGAAGAAATGGGACGTGTGACATTCTCATCACCTTGTTTGGTTACTTATAAACAGGCTCTTCCTTGCCTTGTTAGCCCTTTTTAAAAGTTCCTGGGAGAAAACAGAGCGGGTACTGAGTTTACTGAATCTATTGTCATGTCAGCTTAGTAAGACACAGAAGACCAGGTCGCGTGGACTCCCTTTTAATTCTAGTACTAGGAAACAGGACAGATGAAGAGTCTTGCATTTGATTAGTTGATCGATTTGATTGATTGTTCGCACTATGCCGTGCTCAAAAAGTAATTTGAAACGACACTCACCAAATAGTTTTGTCACCTCCTGTACGCTGTGATTGTATGTTAGGGGCACAGTTAGACTTATGACATTCAGTGATATACAAACATTAATCAAGTGTTTACCATGTTAAAGACCTCGGCTTAGATGCAGGGTTACAAAGATAAATGAAATCCTCTCTAATCTAAGGAAGCTCACTGTCTCGTATAGAAACTGACACAATTAAGTATAATAAAAGTGAGATGGTAATGATTGCCCTTGGGCAACTATAATGTGGGTCTAGCAATCATGTTTTTGTTCTGTTTTGTTTTTTAACCACACATCTAGGGATTCATCTGACAGAATTTTTTTTTTTTTTTCATTTTGGAATTTGATTTAAAGTACATCAAAAACATTAACAATTAAAATCTCATTCAGTTGTACTTAAGAAATTTCCCTTATTGGAAAGAATGCAGGGACATAAAAATTAGGACCACCCTGGAAAATCCAAGACATTTCCTCACTGGTTATGGTTGCTGAGAGGATGGTGTCATTTATTCTCTCTAAGAGGACTGGAGAGGGCTCTCCAGCGGAGTTGGTGTCCGAGTTGAGTCTTGAGCAGCAGATAAAGTCATTGCAAGAGTTTTAGCTCTGTGTGCTTCAGTGAGTTTAATACACATGAAAGTCAGCTACAAAGCTTGCCAGTTCATCTCATCTGCACCCATTCCTCCAGTAGATATTTTGATCACTACTGCTATAGCTTTCAGCAAGGACCCCATGATTGCCATTTTCATTTGATTTGCACACAATTCATAGTCATGCCTCCCCTTCCTATGGGGTCAGCAGTGCTTTCAAGAACCTAGAAGGTGGGTGCTTTTGCATGCAGGGTAAGGAAGCCAATCCTGAACACCAGCAAGCTTAATCCATTTCCATCTGAAAAACAATTGGCCTTAGGCAACATATTTTTAATTGTCTAAGTCATTCTGTGTGTGCCTGCACGCACATGCGCGCAGGCCGTGCATAAATAGCACATTTTCAATCTGTGTAAAATGTAATGGATGAGCAGCACATGACAGTAGGCTTAGTCCCTGAAGATTTACCAGAAAAGACAGCTGCATAGCAAAGCTGCTGCTAATAATTAGGGAAGGGAATAGCCCATGTCCTGTGCCACTCAGCAGCTTCAACCATTTAAATGACAACTGGTTTATTTAGCTCTGTAGCCCCACCCCCACCCCCAATTCTTTATGAGCCAGGAGTTCATTTCTTTTCCAGAACATGGCTTTTGGTTGTTATCATCTCTGGTATCATTATAAGATCGGATAGGACACGATTACTGAAAAGTCCCAAGTAGACACCATGATGAATGAGAAAAACAGGAGTTGTTTTAGCATCTCTTTAAAAATTCTGTAGCTCTGGTGGCGCAGCAGTTAAGAGCTCAGCTACTAACCCAAAAGGTCAGCAGTTCAGATCCACCGGTTGCTCCTTGGTAACCCTATGGGGCAGTTCTGCCCTGTCCTAAAGGGTCACTATGAGTTGGAATCGACTCAGTGGCAACGGGTTTGGTTTTTTGGGTTTTTGGTTTAAAAATTATAAGTGATGAAAAACTGTTTTTAAACCCCATGGACTTTCAGCTTTCAACAAGGCCATGTTGCCAGCGTGGTGGTTGACAAGAAAACTATAATACTTTCTTTGGCTAGAGTGAACTGCCAAGAAGTGTCACAGCACTCACCCCTTATGTAGGATGGCTCTCAACAGGACTGATTCAGAGGCAAGTTAATAGGCTTCCCATTGTTACTGTGCGTTTTTGCCAGGATATTTCGGTAGTGTAAACAGTAAACCTGTTGTCATCTTGTTTAGCCACTTAACCCTGGTTATTTTCAATTCTGCTTGTGCCGTGATAAAGTACAGCAGTAGCATGCAAAACACAGGCACTAATTATTGGAAGCAGAGCCATTGCTGACCCAGTACGAGATTAACTGCTCCTTTGCAGTCTTTATTCTGAAACATTAATACTGTCTGGTTATCGTGCTTCAGTTGAGGGATTCAGGACAAAAGCGGTGCTGATGGTAACATTGGCAATTTCCCTGTTTGTTTTGCAGGTCACGGCCAGGGGCTTTGGGCCGCTGTTACAGTTTGCCTACACTGCCAAGCTGTTACTCAGCCGAGAAAACATCCGCGAGGTCATCCGCTGTGCTGAGTTCCTGCGCATGCACAACCTGGAGGACTCCTGCTTCAGCTTCCTGCAGACCCAGCTCCTGAACAGCGAGGATGGCCTGTTTGTGTGCCGAAAGGACACCGCATGCCAGCGCCCGCATGAGGACCATGAGAACTCCGCGGGAGAAGACGAGGAAGAGGAGGAGGAGAGGATGGACTCGGAGATGGCTAAGATGGCTTGCGCCAGGGACCAGATGCTTCCAGACCCCATCAGCTTTGACGCTGCTGCCGTCCCGGTAGCAGAGAAGGAAGAAGCCTTGCTGCCCGAGTCTGACGTGCCCACAGACATCAAGGAGAGCTCAGAAAAGGATGCGTTAACACAGTACCCCAGATACAAGAAATACCAGCTTGCATGTACCAAGAATGTCTATAATGCATCATCACACAGTACCTCAGGTTTTGCAAGCACATTCAATGAAGATAACTCTGGCAACAGCCTCAAGCCAGGCCTTGCCATGGGGCAGATTAAAAGTGAGCCGCCCAGTGAAGAGAACGAGGAAGAGAGCATCACGCTCTGCCTGTCGGGAGATGAGCCTGATGTCAAGGACAGAGGAGGGGATATAGAAATGGACCAGAAACAGCCCAGCCCCGCCCCCACCGCTGCCACCGCACCCCCAACCCCTGCCGGGGCTGCCTGCCTGGATAGATCCAGAAGCGTGTCCTCTCCCTCCTGTTTAAGGTCTCTATTCAGTATAACAAAAAGTGTGGAGCTGTCTGGCTTACCCAGTACATCTCAGCAGCACTTTGCCAGGAGTTCAGCATGCCCTTTTGACAAGGGGATCACTCAGGGTGACCTTAAAACTGACTACACCCCTTTCACGGGGAATTACGGACAGTCCCACGTGAGCCAGAAGGACGTATCCAACTTCACCATGGGGTCGCCCCTCAAGGGTCCTGGGTTGGAGGCTCTCTGTAAGCAGGAAGGAGAGTTGGACCGGAGAAGTGTCATCTTCTCCTCAAGCGCTTGTGACCAAGTGAGCACTGCGGTGCATGCATATTCTGGGGTGAGCAATTTGGACAAAGACCTCTCTGAGCCAGTGCCAAAGGGTCTGTGGGTAGGAGCTGGCCAGTCCCTCCCCAGCTCGCAGGCCTACTCCCACGGCGGACTGATGGCTGACCACTTGCCAGGTAGGATGCGGCCCAACACCAGCTGCCCGGTGCCAATCAAAGTCTGCCCTCGCTCGCCCCCCTTGGAGACCAGGACCAGGACTTCCAGCTCATGTTCCTCCTACTCTTACGCAGAGGACGGGAGTGGGGGCTCGCCCTGCAGCCTCCCTCTCTGCGAGTTCTCCTCCTCACCCTGTTCCCAGGGAGCCAGATTCCTTGCCACAGAACATCAGGAACCAGGCCTGATGGGAGATGGAATGTACAACCAAGTCCGGCCCCAAATTAAATGTGAGCAGTCTTATGGAACCAACTCCAGTGACGAATCCGGATCGTTCTCGGAAGCAGACAGTGAGTCGTGTCCTGTGCAGGACAGGGGCCAGGAGGTAGGGAACCCACATAAATTCAAGCATGTGACCCAGTCTCTCAGTCCTTTATGTGGACCGTGTACCTCTCCCTGCCCCCCACCACTGCCAGATTGTTCTTAATTAAACGTGACAGTAAAGAGACTGCCTCCTCCATCCAGGGAGCCAGCATGCTTCAAGGTGATTCCAAATTAACCACTTTTGTCCTAGAAGGCACTTGATATTTGATCTAGATTTCAGTGCTCAATAAGCAGAGACAAACCACTTAGTGGAAAAAGTCAGTCTAATACATGAAAGCATGCTCAAGCACTTCAAATCCCCACCCCACCCCACCCCTACCTCCTCCCTTTCTTTCTCCTCCATCTGCTTTGAAAGGATGCCGTAGTCCACACCCTCATCCTGCTCTTCACCCCTTCAGTGTGAAGGAAAATGTAGAATCTCCTTCAAAATTGATTGAAATGAGATAGGTGAACACCAAACAGGTGCTTTTCCAGCACCCTTTAAGTTTTCCTTGTCAACAGATGACCCGAGGGCTGTCCCACATCTATTATGAGGCAGGTTATGAACAGCTTGTCATCTGTCCTGATCCAGGGTCACTGCAGAAGCACCCTAGAAGTGTCACACATCACTGTATCATGGATCACTTCCCAGGCTCCCCACAAATGATGAGAAGTCATTTTGAGGAGTAGTGGGATTAAGTAGCGGTTTTTGTCCACACTGAAAGCAAAGTGCTTTACAGGTACAAATCCCCAAATAATCTTCAATGTCTTGCCATTACTGGAGAGGAGGAAACAGGAGCAACACCAACCATAGCCTGAGCAAGACTTACGTGACTTGAGAGAAAAGAATAGAAGCCCCCGTGTTTTCCCTTCCACCAGTAACATGACAGCTCCTTAGAAAGACTCTAAGGGAGGTCTGTCGTGATTTGGCAAGAAAGTAATGTGAGACTGCCACCTGTGTCTCAGACCTGCCTCAGAAGCAAGAGTGAGCCGACTCAGTCAGAAGTCCCTCCTCAGGGCTGTTCACACACAAAACATAGGAAGAAATGAAGCGTGTTCCTCACTAAGCCAGTGCCCTCACTGCTCTTCTGTGCTCCCTGGGTATTAAGCCAGTTAAACCAGTTGTCAAGTTGACCCTGATTCATGTGTGTCAGAGTAGAACTGTGCGCCATAGGGTTTTCAATGGCTGATTTTTCAGAAGTAGTCGTCAAGCTTTTCTTCAGAGGTGCCTCTGACAACTCAAACTTCCAAACCTTTGGTTAGGAGCCAAGAACATTAACCATTTACACCAGTCCCTGGTAAAGTAGAGGCTGTTAACCAAACCAGACAGCAGAAATGCCGCATGGGGTGAAGTGGCTTCTCACAGAGCCACATGTGGATTATTCAGACTCTGCAAGGTTGACAAGAAGCACATGAGGTTTTAGTTTGCATATGTTTTGAAAAGAGATTCCAAAGCTCACTGTGCCGGCTGCAAAAATACCCTGTGGTCACTTCTTCTTTGCTGGCTAGTCTGGACCCTGCTCTTCTGTTACTGTCTAACAAAAACAGAGAAAGAAAAATACTGAAATGATTTAATTTAGCTAAAAAGTCAGAAAGGAAATTTGAAGGGGAACTACTCCCAATCAAATACCCCATATTTCCCTGAGACTTGGGATGGAGGGCTATGCCCAGTGTCCCAAGCCAAACTCATTTCTGCATCCCTGACTCCAGTAGATTGAGGTTTTGGGCAAAAGGCAAAAGGTTGCTTTCTCTCCTCATTCATTCTTTCTCTCTGACCACAACTTTGTAAGGTTTTGTTTTGTCCCCTGAAACTGTTAATGAGCATGCCTAATGCAGAAGCCCAGTCATTGGGTCAGTTCCTCGTTATAGTCAGCAGGACAAATCCCTCCTCGTCTTTGTTTTTCTCTCTCCCTAAAGAGGAGCCCCACCAGTCAGCTGAAAAGAGCTGTTTTTATGACATTTGCATATACGTTCAAGAAACTGTCAGTATCACATAAATCTCCTTTTACCCCTCTGTATCCCAAAAGAGAGCTTAAAGTCACTTTTTAGAACTAAAAGCCACCAACAAAAGCACATGTGTTTTTCCTGTGTTCAGGCCATGTCATTTGTCTACCTTAGAACTGAAAATAGTTTAATCAATTAAAAAGAGGACACATTCAACTCATAAAATAGTCATTAACGGGACTAGTCTCCTCTGCAAAACTATTGCAGATTTTTTTTAAGTTTTAATTTTTACTTCTCAAAAACAATCTTTTGTTTACATTTCTGAAAAACAGACATTTGCCAAGGCTTTCCACATTTCAGAAATCACCTGTAGCCTCTCTCAGTAGTACATTTTGGACAGGCGCCCTGGTGGTGCAAACAGTTAAGTGCTCAGCTGCTAACTGAAAGATTGGTGGTTCAAACCTACCCAGCAGCACTGCAGAAGAAAGGCCTAGCAATCACTCCTATAAAGATTACAGCCTAGAAAACCCTATGGGGCAGTTCTACTCTCCCATGGGGTCATTATGAGTTGGAATTGACCTGCTGGCCCCAAACAACAGCAACAGCTATAGTAAAGCTAAGGTTGTTCCCAAGTTGGCATTATACTTTTTCTAGAGGTGGTTAGGTTTTCCAAGAACTGTCTCAGGGACTCAGTGTGACTTCCTTAGAGACAGCCTCCTCTTTGAGTTGATGACATGCCTTTGGGAGTTACTTTGACCCTGATAGAATTGTTGTTCCCAGTAATGACATAGGCAGATCCTTTGCAATTTGAGTCATAATTTTGTTTCCTGAACTGATCCAGAAGAAGCCAATATCTATTGAGTGCCTTCTCCGTCCTAGCTATTATTGCCTGCTTATCTCATGGAGCCAGGATTTCTACAATTAGCTAGAGCAGTGACAACTCAATCTAAAAAGCATTAGATGTCAATAGGACTAAATAAAAACATGTTTCTTCATTTCCCTCTGTGAGAGGCACCCAGTTATGCAAAGCATTAATGAAGAAGGGAGATAGAGCTGATTCTGCCTTGATCTGCTTTTATATGAAGCCCAGGTGCCTTTCTCTTGTTTCTCTGTCTTGCTGGGCACCAGTCTGATATCTCAGACTGATGGGTCCATACTCCTTCCCAATCTGTCTTCCTCCAGCTCTATAAGGAGCCAAACATCAGGTCAAACAAGTGTTAGATACCTTGTATTCTATAAGATGTTCTAGTTATGCCATGTTAAGTAACACTTCCATTGAATTCTTCTCCATCTTTCTTAACTGTTAGCTTTGAAGATAGCTTACATAAGCACAGTGTTTTCCTTTATCAACAGTCAGCTTCTTAAAAATACTTTTTTTAAATAATAAAGTACAGCATACCCAGCCCCTAACATACCACATTTAACAGGCTTTCTCTGTGTGCCTACAGTAATATACAAGCATGATCACATTATAGGGGTTTATGTTTTATTTTTAATGGCATTATACCATATAATTACTCAGCAACTTGCTTTGTTCACATAGCTGTCTACCGTGTGCATGCCTCTAGGTTAATCATTATAGGGCTAACGACTGCTTCTTTAATATTATTTCCATAAATGCACAATTTATTCAGCCATCACCTATCAACGTACATTCTGGTTGTTCCCAGTTTTTTCCCCTCTTCTAAATATTGCTGCAATAAACATTTTTTGTGAACATATCTTTAGTAGTAATACTTTTATTTTTGTGGGGTAGAGTCCCATTAGTAGGTTAAAGGTTATGCCCAATTATTAAATACTACCAGATTACTTTCCCAAAAGGTTGTAGCAATTCACTTATCTGTCAGCAGTTTGAGTGTCCATTTCCCCCTGCTCTTGCCAGCGTTAGTTGTTACCAGTCTTTTTAATTTTTGCCAATCTGATGGACAAAGAATGGTGACTCATTGTGCATTTCCCTGACTACTAATGGGGTTAACGTCTTTTCTTCTGTTTATTCACTGTTTACATTTCCTTTTCTGTGAATTGCTTGTTTATGTCTTTGCCCATTTTTCTTTTGGTTTGTTTGCTTTTTTTAAAATCAGTGTTTAGGAACTTTAAACCCTTAATATTAGGGATATTAACCCTGTCTCATAAATGTTGCCTATATTTTCTTCTAGTTTTATTCTATGATATCTTTGTTGTGTAAAAAAATTTAAGTTTTATGCAGTCAAATTATCAGTCTTTTTCTTTATGACTTCTGGGTTTACTGTATTACTTAAGAAATCAGCTTGGGAATTTTTTTCTTACTTCACATGATGAAAAAATAAATAAGTCATATTAAGTGGAAAGAAAGTCACAAAACAATATGCCTTAAAAGGCCCTAGTTTGTTTCATAACTAAACATGTTATAAACAATAAATGCAGTATAGAGAATAAGATAAAAATGGAAGGAAAATTGAGGGGAGTAAGAATAGGGAAAGTTTCATTTCTATGTATTGTAATTTGAATTTTATATACATATATCTAATGCAGGGAGCCCCGTGGACACAGTAGTTAAGTGCTCGGTTGCTAACCAAAAGCTCGGCAGTTTGAACCCACCAGCTGCTCCGCAGGAGGAGGATGTGGTAGACTGCCTTCCGTAAAGATTACAGCCTTGGAAACCCTATGGGGCAGTTCTACTGTGTCCTATAGGGTAGCTATGAGTCAGAATCCACTTGACGGCAATGGATATATATAATACAGGTTCATTTTTTCATTGATATATAATCCACATACCATAAAATTCACCCTTCTAAAGTGTATAGTTCAGTGGGTTTTAGTTCTGTAACTATCACCACTATCAATTACTAGAACATTTCATCACCCCGAAAAGAAACCCTATACCCATTAGTAATGACTTTGCATTCCCCCTTCCCCTCAGCCCCAGGCAATCACTAATCCACTTTATGTCTCTGTAGCTCTCCATATGCTAGGCATTTCATATAAATCGAATCCTATATATGGCCTCTGTGTCTGGCTTCTTTCACTTAGCATAGTGTTCTCAACGTTCGTTCTTTTTTATTCTTCCAAATAATATTCCACTGTATGGATATACCACAT